CAGGGTCACAGAGAGAAGGACAATCACTTACCAGCTTAAGGACAAACTTGTTTACTCTTAAATATATATTTTTTCAGAGTCAGCAAAAGCTAGAGGCATCCTGCCTATGGACCTGCATTTGCATTTATAGTATAAATAAGAAAAATGAGTTTTAGCTAGAGCATGTCCTTAAAGAGATTATAAATTCACTCTCTTGACTGGCGTACTGGGCAGTACTTTGATTGGTATATGAGGATGTGTGTTGCACTTGAAAGTTAAGGGAAGCGAGAAATTTGGGAAAGGAGCCAGGGGGGACATATTACCATGAAAACAATTTAGTCACAGAGAGCCATCTCTGCTATTGAAAAGTGCTTATACCTGGCTAACTTTGTAGACATTTACTCTGCAATGAAGCTTGGCTTATGGTGGGTTAATAATTAGATACTCTTTGTGTATAGTTCAAGTGAAGGCCACTAGCTATGACTTCACTTTGGCTGGGGTTTCCCTGTAATCCATTTAGCAAATTAAAGAGATTACTTTGATTGGTGCCATTATCTCCTATTCTCTTGCGGGTGAACCACTTAACCTGTGCTTAATTGAAAGAGATAGAGAGGGTACAGTAACAAATACAATCAAAAGGAAGGGGCAATAGGATCTGTAGGCCAAACAAATGATCGGCACTGGGCTAACAATAGCAGATTAGAGGTGAGATCAATTAATTAGAAGCTATTGTAGGCGTTGGGTGATTGCCAAGGTTTCTAATAGCCTAAGCCATCATGCCAGCTCTGTTTAGGAGGATTTTAATGACTGGGAGTTGATGTGGTTATTTCAATAATTACTTACTTTTATAATTACTTCATTAGAATACTAAATGTATTACTTCAGTGAGGAAAATCTTTATCCACCCCAACACACACACACACATACCCAGCCATATTGGAGGCTACATCTTCCCATAGAAGAGTCCTCTTTGGAAGAGGCAGTGGTTTGGATACAACTATGCTTGTGTTGTGTTAATAATTATATGTCATGCTCCTGCTCTGTGAGGCCTGGGCTAGCTGTTTGGGGTACAGAGAAAAATGAGGCACTGTGTTTGGAGTGGTTGCAAACACAAAAGCATAATTTCAATGCAATTTGATAAAGGCGAGGGCAAAATTGTGCAAAGGGTATGTGTCAATGGCAGTTTAGTAGAGGAGAGATCCTTCCAGTTGTTTCAAGCAGAAAGGTATTTAATATAGGGAATTCTCAGATTTGGAGTTTTGGTACCTGACTGACTTCATCTTCTCCTTCCTTCTCTTGCCTTGTTCTGCTTCAACTGCATTGGAAGCCTCCATGTTCTTTCAATTCCCCGGTCACACTCCCACTGACTGTTCCCTTTGTTTTGGAATGTTCTTCCCTCAGAGACCATTGGCCAACTCTGCTTCCTTCAAATCTTGCCTCAATGTCACCTTTTCGGCAAGGTTTACCCCTGCTGCCTTCTTTAACATCGCTATTCACTTTCACTTTTAGTGCTTCTGATTCCTCTGACACCATTTCATTGTTTTGTTTTTGCACAGCACTTAATTTTTAAAATACAAAATATTTACTAAATATGTTTATTTCTACATACATAGTGGAATGCAAATTCTACAGACAGGTTCTGTGTCTCTTATTTAATGATGAGCCCCAAGGGCCCAAATCCATGCCTGGAATATAGATGGTGTTAGATAAGTATTTGCTGAGTGAATTAGTTGTTTATAGCATCACTGGAAGAGCTGGTGGAGAGGAAGCCAGGACGCTGCCACTAGAATAATGGGTTCAAAGTCACAGCATCAGGAAGCTGTGCCCACGTCCTGCCAGTGTGCCACTGGGACAGCTTGCCACTGCAGCCACTCACGTCTTTAGGACCCTCCTCATCAATCTTGATGGCCAAAGGACGATGGCTTCTGCTTCACTTCCCCCTTCCGAACCTCAAGAAGACAATCTAACAAACACAGTATTTATGTTTTCAACTTCTAGAAATAGAAGGAGGTATAATGATGTCTGGGGAAGCCACTCCGACCATCTACATAGGACCTTATGGGCATGTGAAGGAGGGCCACTGACTCCCCCCCCCCCCCCCCCCCCCCGGCAAACTAAGGCTCGGGGTTTCATAACAATGCACAAGGCAGGTCTCACAAGTCATTCACTGAATCAGGCTGACCCTCCGGTCTCTGCATTCTGAAGCCCTTGTTTCACTCCACATCATCTCTTTTGGCTGCTCAGAGCATAATAAGACCACAATCAAGAGTATGTGTCCCCAGGAAGGCCTTGCCTGCTGCTAGAATTATGCCAGTGACCCCTAACCCTTGCCAATGTGGACCATACCAGAAAGCAGAGCTGGGCTTGTAGAAACCAATCCGAACCTTGAGAATAGCAACTGGGCGTGTGGACCTTTCCCGTGGCAGGTTCCTTGCTGTTACACCCGTTCTTCTCAGGTCAAAGAACATTCAATGACCTCGCTCTCTATTTTGGGCGTGACCCCAAGTAGCAATGCTTCGGTTCCTCTGTATCTCAGCCCCAGTGTCACATCAGTCTGACAGGAGGCCACATAATTGCTGAAATTAACGCATAATACCTGACACCTCCGAGGTGTCTCCCAGAGTCTGTGAATATTTATTTAATGGAAATGGAGAGAGTATGACCTTGCTGGGTCAAACTGACTGTTTCTCTCCCTGACACACCTTGTAAAGAAACAGAAATTTTAAGCTGTGAATCAATAAGGTCCTCTGCTGTGGGGCTGCTGTACTGAGCAGGATTATTCCATTATTAAGAGAATCTCTGAGGGGCCCATTTGTGGGTGGCATTGGGTTAGGGCCCAGTGAAACAGGATTAGGGGTAGGGCCTCTAAGAAATTCCACCCTGGGCATTTGTACGGGTGGGCCAGGCAGCCTTCTAAAATGGCTCCCTTGCCCTGACTGGTTTGGCTCAGTGGATGGAGCGTCGGCCTGCGGACTGAGGGGTCCCGGGTTCGGTTCCAGTTGGGGGCATGTGCATTGGTTGTGGGCACATCCCCAGTGGGGTGTGTGGGAGGCAACTGACCGATGTTTCTCTCTCATCGTTGTTTCTGACTCTCTGTCTCTCTCCCTTCCTCTCTGTAAGAAATCAATAAAATATATTTTTTTAAAAATAAAATGGCTCCCAGTAATCCCCACCTCTTGCCATCCCCTCCCTTTTTGTGTGCAGAGTGGACCTACTGAGTTTCTAATAAATAGCTTATGGCAAAAGTGATGGGGTCATTTCCAAGATGAGGTCATAAAAGACTGACTTCTGTCCTGCTGATGCTCTTCTCTCTCTCTTTCTGTCCCTCCCCCCCCTTCCCCTTATCGTTATGTTTGCTTTGATGAAGCAAGCTACCATGTTGGAGAGGTCTACATGGAAATAAGACTTTAGCCAATATCCATTGTGGAACTAAGGCTCTCAGTCTAAAACTGCTGAGGAACTGAATCCTGCAGAGATACACATGAACTTGAAAGTTGATCCTTTCCCGGTCAGGCCTTAAGATGACTACAACCCAAACAACACCTTGATTGCACCCAGTAAGAACACTTAGCTAAGTCATACCCAGAATATTGACCAAAAGAAACTCAGAGATCATAAATGTTAAGCCACTAAGCTGTGAGTAATTCTTTATTCAGCAATAGTAAATATAATGAGGGAGAGAGCATTCTAATATGTGGGTACTCAGTGCTTCATAATTTCCTATAAGATGAAAAGTAGAAGAGGGTCTCAAGATACTTAGTAAAACCATTAGGATGTGCATTCCAGAATATTAATATTCAGAATTAATAAGTCAAAATCTTAACTCATGTTTGAATAGTAGCTACATTTACCAAGTGTCATGAGAGTAACTCTGTGAGATACTAGTAAGTGCCCCAATATTTGTTCATAATATGTTTATTCACTTATTTACTCATTGATTTACCTGTACATCTCCAGGTAATGTGGAGCCCTTATGGAGCTTATAGTTTTACAGGTGAGAGCAGCATTGCCTCAATGATCACAATGAATACATAATTAAAACCTGAGATGAATTTTACAAAGTATATGAATAGCCTCCCTGTGTTTGTTTCTATGTGTTTGGTAGAACTTCTGTCTCCTGGACTTGGTGGAATGGCCTTATGTAGTAGGGTGTCCTGTAGGGCCCAATGGCACAGCCTCCCCATTCACCTGAACTGGGCACTCCAGGTACACCCTCCTGTTGTAGCTGAACCTTGATTGCTGTTGGCGTGTTAGTGCAAGAGATTTGCCCCCAGGCCAATCAGCTGCAAGGACTGACTGCAATCACTGTGGAGGATCAGCTGTGTAGGAGTCCACCTCTTGGAGCAGAACTTACTTCGGGGGGACTCTTGGTGCCCATTGAGTCAGACCCTTGAGTGTTTTGCTTGTGGAGGTGGTTGGGTGGTGCTTCAATGTGATCTGAAGCTGTCCACCAGGTGTGCTAGCTCTGGGGCCTCCCAGGAGGTACAGGCCTGGTCAAGGTCAGCCATTGTCTGTGTTCTGCCTGGGCCATCTGGCATGAGCTGCAAAGCAATCTGCAGATGGCTTCTACTTGTGCTGGGTTTAGAGGTGCCCAGGAGAGGCCTCACTGTGAACCAAGCTGGCTGCTGCTAGTGCTGGGCCTGGAACCACCTAGCAAGAGTTGGGGCACACCAAGGCCAGATCCTGCTTGTTTGAAAGATTTTAGGAAATTCTGAAGCATGAACCAAGACAGGCTGTTTGTATGGAAAAGCCACTGGAAAACAGCTTGGGTGGGCCCTCATGTTGGGTGGGGCAGGGTCTCAGGGAATCATCAGGGCTGAGCAAACAGTAATAACCAGGTTGATGGAGACTCAGATATGGCACTAGCCTGCTGGCTCTGTGCGGGGAGGGCCCAGAAAAGGAACAATGGCTCTACCAGCACTTCTGTCTAGGAGAAAACGATCCCTCCAGCTCTTGCCCTGATGCCACACAATTCAGTTTCTCCCCATATGTCCTTGGTGCCTTTCGGCTCCTGCCACAGCGCTGGAGCTCAGAGTGAGTGAGTCCAAGTAAGTCCATGTGCAGACCATTTAAGAGGAATGCCTGGGACTTCAGCAGCCCTCCATTTGACTCAGCCATAATCCCTGCTGTGGGTTTTTTGTTTTCTTTCATTTTCAAATTATAAGAGAAAGTTTATTTTAAAAGTTACAGAAGTAGTAGAAGTGAACCAGCTGGGCTATGTAGGCTCAGGAAGCAAAAGAAGGGCCCTTGAAGCTTAGGAAGGAGAAGGAAAGGCAAAGGTAATGTGCCTGGGGGGAAGAAGAAGAGGATGGGAAAGAAGCAGGTGTGTTCCCACTGAGTTTTATAGCCAGAAGTTGGGGAGACTTCTCTTCCTGTCACAGGAACCCTAGGTTGGGGGGCCTGGTGTGGGGCTGGCACTCCTTCCTCCTGGGGGAGGGTACCTCTGCAGCCGAGATCTCTCCCAATTTTTATCTGCCACACGTGGGTGTGGGACCAGCCCATTTTGTGTCTCTGCCCCTCCTACCAGTCTCGATGTGGCTTTTTCTTTATATCCTTGGTTGTAGGACTTCAGTTCAGGTAGACTTCAGGTGGTTCTGAATGATGGCTGTTTTGGAGTTTAGTTGTAATTCTGATGTGGTTGTGGGGAGGGTGCGAGTACTGCATTTACCTACACCACCATCTTGACCAGAAGCCTTTAATTATTCTCTCTGATTTTTTTGTTCCCCCAAATTGGCTTAATCTTTACCCATGTGTAGCTGGCCATTTGAACATTTTAATAGTACCTAATAACTGACGGTGTTCTTTCTTGTGTTCACAATAGCCCTACAAGGTTAGTATTTTCACATTTCACAGAGGAGCAAATCAAGACTCAAAGAGGTTAGTCCCCTACAGTGAGTGGCACATGTCCAATTTTCTTTCAATACTTCTCTTCAAATACACCTATGTTGTTACATAAATATATGTATCTTACAAGAAACTTTATATATCATGGCCATAAATGAAAATATCCCTATCACTTATGAGACTAGAGATGTGGTCAAGATTCATTGCAACCAAAAAGACATTCTCTGTACTATAACTAGATGCAATTCAAAAAGCAATTTGTTTGTCACTGTATCATTCAGTTTTGTCATTTGTGTTTGTGTACCACATAAATTAATTCAAATCCTATCAGTGATGCAGGTTTTGCATCTTGTGGGGGGGAAAAATGCATTGATAAAATGCCCATCAGCCTGAACAAAGTTAACCACCCTTGGTGCTCTTGTATAGATTCTGGTGTTCTCTTCTGTCTATAGACAATGATTATACCATTCTTTCTCCATTTCTGACTTGGCATTGTTTTTCCCATGTACTCTTTATTCCAAGCCAAGCCACATTTCCCCCCTATGTTTCTACTTATAAGAAAGAGAAAGAAGCTAAATTTTTGGAATAAGCAATTTCTCTGCAGAGAGTCCCAAGGCTGCACTCATATCAAAGCTAAATAACCTCTCATTCTAAGGGATGTTGGTCCCACCGGCCAGGACTGAGGTCATTAGCAGGGCAGAAGGAGGAAGTGTGGATAGTAAATGCTTCCATCCATCCTAGTCCACACACAGATAGACACCCTCTGCCTCCCTTAGTATCGGGCCAGCAGCCTTCCCCAGCATCAGGAATCACCTCGCAAATTCCAGCCCCTCCTGTATGAGTTGAAAATGTTTAAAGAACTTCCCCTTTGTCAACTGATGAAATGCATGGCAAAACCTTTTGTAAATTGCAAAATGTCCTCTGTAAATATAATATCTGGTGTATTTCCTATTTTTCGCTATTTTGTTTCTTTTGAAAACTAAATCCAGGAAGGATGCAAATAGACATCTTGAGAAATAATTGTAGCTTGTGATAGAAACATTTGTCTTCCACTCGTTGTTAGCCATATTCATTAGCGTTTGATAAAAGCAGATGTGCATGTAGGGTTACAAATGGAGACATTCAAAAAGCAGGGAGGGGAAAGAAATTTTTCACTATTAACTTTTTAAAAAATAAAATGTATACTTAATAAAAATCAAATATTTTGTGCATTCATACAGTTAAAGTGATTACATTTAGTATTAAAAGCAAGTGGCCACAATGGCAACACATTGTCAAAGAAATTTAAGCTGCAAATACTATAAAGCATTTACAGGAAATTGTCCACCGTGGTTTACAGGCAATACTGCATTTAGCAATCAATTCCGTTTGTGCTGTAGTCCACGCTTGGGGAGGAAGGAGGGAAATGGCTAAGATGCCCTGGAATATAAAGAATAAATAAACACAGAGCCACAAAATAAATGATGTAGAGAGACTTTGGAACTGAGTTCAAAAGCAGACTACAAAGCAGTTGATCGCTTCTTCCCCTCCTAATCATGCCAGGCTGGTTGTGGGAGTTACTGCAAGACTTGGAGCTAATTGAGGCCGAGAGGATACAGACAATGTGCTATTTTCTTTGGTCCAAAGCTTTGGTGCAGAATAGTCTTCGTATTTTTGCTGCCCCTTGAAATCAAATACCAGCTGTGTGTTCATTCAAATAACCCATGAGCACAGGACATGATTCGGGCCAATTTGCATGAATGAGGGACTCTACCCCAGGTGGTATCCATTTGGTGAATGATTACCTGGCCACAGACTGTGTTTCTCCACTGGAAATGCTTCCATTCCTGATCACCAGCAGAACTCCTTACAACAGAAACAATGAAAAAGGAGAGCCAAGCAAAATCATCCCAGAGCCGCCATCTTCCAAGAGAACGTGTCATCCTTTGGAACTGTCCTCCTTTCTTCCTCTTAATGATTGCAATTTCTGTTTTTAATGTGCCCTGCAGAAACTTGAGACACCGATATTTCCCCACCTGCCCCCTTTCCCATAACCCTCCCTTTTGTGGAAGTTCTCATCCATTGGCCATTTTCCAACAGTCCAAAGATCAGAACCCTCCATTATTCTTCACCCCTCCTCCTTCACCTGTATTTGGGGGCCTAAAATTCTGGAATAATAATCCTTTGAGCCGAAGATATATTAACTCATACTGTTGCACCTTGAGGCAAGGCTTTATGGTGTCAAGGTGCACACCATCGCCTGGAGCAGCAAAGAAACCTTTTCAGATGTGCAACATGGAAGGTTAGAGCTCAGGTTGAGCCAAAGGAAGTTGAATTCAAGTATCAGCTCTGTCTCCCATATGCTGTAGTACCCTGATCAGGTCCCCTACTGTGTCTGACTCTATTTCCTCCTTTGCCAAAATGATAAATCAGACATCTCTCTTAGGGATGCTGTGAGGTTGACATGAGAGACGTGCGTAAAACACTGAGCTTGATAGTGGACACTTAGCCAATGCTCCATGAAAATAGCTTTATGGACCACATGATATCGAAGAGACAGAGTATCCATAATCCCCATTACTACCATCCATCTCTCAAGCACAAGTTACCTTTCCAAAGAGCCAGGCTTGTCCACAGATATCTTTATTGTGTGTTGTGTATGAAGTCTGACAAAAACTGTACTGCAGGGAGGTTTAGATCAACAGAATGGCATGTGATCATTTACTAAACTTTGACAAAAAAAAAAGAAAGAAAAAAGGATTCTGCTCTCCATAACTCCCAACCACTTGAGATAATTTCACTTGACTTCATTAAGCTTGAAGAATTGCACTTTCCCTTCACCCCTTTCTTCCTCATACTTACTTAGCCTTTACAACTCAAAAGATAATTGCTCTATTAACAAATGTTTATAGCATAATAAAAGAGTGGGAGGGAGGGAAAAGATTTTTTTTTTCTGTCTGGGCCATTCCTCTCAGTTTCTTGGAAGTACTAGAGAGAAATGGAATAAGCCATAAATTATTTTTGGAATTAAACCAAAGGGTTCATTTTTCAGCCACTAGCAAACAGTTCTTAGCCAAAAGACTCCAAGACCTTGTGGGGAATGAGGCTACCAGGAATTCCTAGTGGCTGAACAGATGTCACCACAACTCGGAGTGTGAAGAAATCCTGGCTTTACTGGAAATTAGGAAAAGTCTCTGGCAGGTACTGGTAGGGGCTGTGGAAACCCCCCTATGGAGCTTGGAGTTGGGGATTTAGAAGAGCCTTCTGGAGAATTTTCCCTTCTTTGGGCTGATGAAGTATTACCCTATTTCAATAGAAATCTCATAACTATGTGTTATGGACTGAGTTGTGTCTCCCTAGAACTCATCTGTTGAATTCCTATCCCCCAGGACCTAAGAATGTGACTGTATAAAGAGGTAATTAAGGTTCAATAAAGTCATTAGGGTGGGTCCTGATCCAATCTAACTGGTATCCTGATGAGAAGAGATTAAGACATAGACACACAGAACAGACCATGTGAAGACGCCCAAAGAAGAGAGAGGTCTTTGAAGAACTAATCCTACCAATACTTGATCTCTGACTTCTAGCTGCCAGACTGAATTTAAGCCATCCCATCAATGGTATTTTGTTATGGCAGCCCAGGCAAATTGATACACACTGTGTGTTAAGGGACTCGCCCAACATACCCTCGTGACTAAGGAAGAAGGTTCCTTCATGGTCTCCCCCAACACATTCAAGAGGCTTTGGAAGGAGCACCCCTGACCCTAGGAAGCTCCAACAGGGTGCATGGTAACAAGGTTCAGGAGTCAGGAGTGACCCTACTCATGCAGTTCACCTCCTTGAAGAGACTGTGCTTTATTGGTTGATAACCCGCCTCTGGCTTTCTTGACCTCTTTCTAGGACATTGTTCCCTTTCTAAGGGCCTTTGACAGTGAAGAATGCACTCAGCTTTCTGCTCACTCCTCTGCTTCTTCCCTTTTCTTTCCCCCTCCCCCCTCTCCCCCAGAGCATCAGCTTTGGTTTGTGTTTGACCCGGTGGTAATGTTTTCTTTGAGAATTATATGTAAAATTACCCCATCATCAATGTCTAAGCCCTCTCCTCACCTCTGACCCTGGAATTCTGTATGGCTTGCTCATGAGGTAGAGAGGGGGATGTGGCAAGAGTGTTGTTAAAGGGACATTTTCTGATGAATCACAGATCACCTATGTCACCTTGGGCACATTTCCTCCTTTCTGTAAGATCTCATTTTTAACTTCTGAAAAATAGAGGGTGGGGCAAAATTGTCTTTAAGATCCCTCCAGGTTTAACATGCAAGGATTCTAACCCATCTACTCAACAAAAATATGGACATATACATCTCTCCCCTCGGGTCATGAAGGCACAGCCCCATGCTTGAAGATCACTTTGAATTCAAACCCTGTGTTCTCTGTAAAGCTGTGTCCTCTGTAAAATTATTTAAGCGAAAAGCTGCACTTGCAGAAACCAGTCATTAATGGTCCCAAATAGAACAATTAACTTTTCTTTGTACTCATGTTTGTAAGGACTGTAAAAAAATGCTTGCCCTTCGTTTTGCATATAATAAGTCATCATTTAAGAGAGATGTGTGAAAATGCTTGAGCCAGATGTTTGATTTTTTTTTTTAAACACACACAGCTTGTTTGCACACCACCTTTTACCCAGCGCCGCAGTTTGGCCTCTGAGGATAACTAAGAAAAACCTCTGAGATCGTTAGAGGGGCGCTTCACCTGCCAGTCTGGGCTGCAGGATCTCTATAGCAACCAAACATAAATCAAGGAAATGGCCCCTTTTGTAAGTTGGTTAATAGGCACAACATGCTTCTTTAGAAAAGCCAACCATTCTTTCAATAGACTTTGATTGAAAGTCAGCCTTTTCTTCAGACACATTCACATTCACATCTAGTAGCAGCTTGTATGGCTGTCCACGGGCTAATTTATTACCCTTTAAAGATCTGGCGAAGAAAAAATGGCTCTCAGAACAATGTTTACATTCAGAGGCATAAGCACAGAGCCACAAAAGAGCATCCTTTTGTTCAGAACTTGGAATATTAATCTTTAACTTGGGACTTTAACCACCCCCCTTTCTGGAGTTCGACAGAACCTCTCCTCTCAATAAAATTTTTACCGATTTAATAGGACTTTGTTTTTAATACGTGGGAAGGGGGGGGGGAGCCTTCCTCCCATTGTTTTGCCAAACCCTGATAGAGATGAATTGTTTCTCGGCCTCCCCACCCTTTGCTTGGAGAATAGTCTGTTTCAGGGATTGCTGCCTAGGGGAGTTTGCTCTCTGGTCCCAAGAGGAGAATTGGGCTAATTAACAAAAAGACCAGGGATGCTCCTCACACCTCTTAGGAAGCAAGAGAAGGGCCATCAGATGGCATATAGGCCCCCTCACACCCCCATCCCACCACAATGTAATTTGGAAATGGATCCAAGAAATGCCCTGTGTGGGGCCAGTCCTCCCAGCGTCCTAGAGGATAAATACAGAGCGGGACACACACTGAGGGCTTCCTTTCATGTGAGCAGGGTCACATCGCTGAGTAAGTGGTGTGCTTTCTCTCGAGGGTGGGGGAGCCAAAGGCTGGGCCCTGTCTTCTCTGAGGTAAAGGGAGGAGAGGGGGAAAAGCCTACAGAAACAAACCTTTGTAGTTTTTTTTTCTAAAGCCGATTATGAGATGAAAAAGTCCTTCTAAAACAAGAGGGAGCTTGCATTGCTCTGTGTAGCTTCATATCACAGATGCAGTTGGGCTAGAAAAGATTTATATTAATGCCTCCCTCTTTAGCTCTCTTAAATCCTCAAAAACCAGTCCTCAGAAATCAGACTCTTCGGGAGCTCCCTTCCCTTTGATATGGTCAGCTGTCCCCACTAGCAAGAGGGGACTAGGGCCTGGTTTCAAAGTGTGCGTGTGTGAACATGCCCTTTATTTTCGTCGTAGCCTGTGTTATCAGAAAAAGTTGTCTCATGCTGTTCAGGGCGGATCACTCAGAAATAGCTTTGGCCTTATTAGCCCTAGCCTGGAGAGATCTTTGGGGTCTGTGAAACTGAAGAGTCCCCAAAAAATATCAGCAAAATAAGTACAGTATGTTAGAGATCCCCTCAAGAGCAGAAAAAGATCCTAGACCTTCAGGAAAGAGGATTGGGTTTTGTTTTCTGTGGCCAAGGCCACATGGAGCCAGAAGGTTAGTTGTGCTAGTGACTTACAGCTTGACTGTGTGGTCATGCTACCAGATCACTCACTTTGCGCATAATTTTCCACCACGTGCCTGTATCCATTTCTGACGTACAGGGCACTAATCAAAACTGTGGGCAAAGGCACTGAATTGTCAGCATTCAAATCCCAGCTCTGCCACTTACTGATTCCATCACTTCCAGAAAGTGACTTCACCTCCCTATGCTCAGATTCCTCATGTGTAAGATAAATTTATAATAGTACCTACCTAACAGAGCTGCTAAGAGAATTCATTGTGTTATAATAGACCATGTAGCCTGGCCCATCATAAGTCCTCAACTGTTAGTTTCTATGAACATCGTTAATGTTTTTGTTATAGTCGATGCTGTTGTATTGTTAATATTGTTCCCTACAGGAAGAACGCACATGACATTGCAACACACAGCACAACATTTTCCAAGTCCGGGTGACATTTTGCAGAACACTGGACAAAAAACAAAGTAGTTTCCCAAGGCTTGGGTTACTCACTTAAAAAAAATCCAGAGATAGGACTCAGCTGTGTCTATGGCAATAACTCATCCAGTTTGCCTAAAACCATCATGATCTGGTATCTCCATCCATCCCTTCCTACAATCCTGTGTGATGGAAATGCCTCAGGCTCAGGAGTTCTGGCTCTGTGTGTGTGTGTGTGTGTGTGTGTGTGTGTATGTATTTCCTGCCTCCTGTCTGTTCTCTACCATCAAAATGAAGAACCGGTTCTCCCCACCTACCCTTGCTTTCACAGGGCCACCACCTAGTTGCATTTTTACAATTTAAGCAGAGAACACTGGGGCCCAGTTTTGTATGTGGTAGCCAGGAGTAGATCCTCGGGACTCATTCACCCTCACCCTGCTCATTTGTTTGAAGGGCTTTGTTCCTTTCAATAAGCCTCCTCAGCTTCAGACCAAGTATCCAGGAAACAATGACTTTAGAGGAGGTAAGACGAGACACTCACCAAAGGAGTCACCAAGGAAGATGCAGCTTTCTTCCCAGGAAAGGACCCCACATCTATAAGAATTTTGTGAACAAATCAGAACTTGCAGAAAAGATCAAAAGAATTAAAAAACTAAAGAAGACTAAGATTTTTTTTAAAGAAAATAATATTGTGGTTATTTTGTTGTTAGTTAAGAATTAAATTTTAAACATTGCATACTCACTGAGGAGCAGCATGTTCTAATTGGAAAGGGTTAGGTCTTGAAGAAAACCATTTGAACCCCAGGAACTTCAGTACTTACTATGTGGCCTTAGTCAAGTCCTGGTCTTGAATTCATCCCAGCTGTCCATCAGTCAGCATTTAGAAAGGAAAAATAAACACCATTTCAGCTATTTCTAACAAAAGGAATTTAATATAGAGAATTGGTTGATGGAAGAGCTGAAAAAAGAACTTTGGATGTTGGGGAACCCCAGAGGTTGGCTTCAACAGGAAGCTGCTCCCACCCCTGAGACTGAAGGGATAGTAGGAAGAGATGATACCACCAGAGCCTAAGAGCTGGGCAGATGGTGGGCGCTAGAACCCCAGAGGAGATCCAGTCACATAAGGGAAACCACCTAAGGCAGAAGGAGGAGGGAGTGATGTCCTGGCTTCTCCCCACTGCTGCCCCCTATTGGTGGGAACTTCCTGGAAGCCAGTTGGCAATGTACTAGTATTAGTATTTTCCCAGTCTTTCCACCTCCTGCTCCTGGATAAATAAAAGGAAAAATCCCAAGCATTACTGATTTGCTCTCAGATCCATTCCCTGCCTTTCCCCTGCTCAGCTCCTTATCACAGGATTCCACGACATATAAGTAGATAACAGTGGCCGGTTAACCCTTCACTCTTTGATCAATCCTCTACCCTAACCTCATGGGATACCAGAAACTATGTCCATGTGGTTTCTGTAAAGATAGTCTTAATCTGTTCATTTTCCCAAAAGGACCATATATAACCCTAAGTGATAGACTTATATGTTACCATTTACCATGTAACTCTCTTTTTTTTTTTTACCATGTAACTCTCTTATGCTAGACAAGCAACATGGTGTAGTGGTTAAGAACAAGATTGCTTAAGCATTTGGGTTCAAATCTTGGCTATGTCTGCTGTGTGATGTTGAGCAATTTAACTTCTCTGTTCCTCAGCTTCCTCATCTGTAACATGGGATTAAGAATAGTCTCAAAAACCGTTAAGAGGTAAACGGGTGGGGTCCGCGCAGTCCGCCCAGAGGATTCAATCCAGCGGCGTGGGGCACGGGAAATGTGGCGTCTGGAAGGCCCACTCCCCGGCGCTTCTCGTGGGGGGCCTGAGTCCTTCTGATCGAGGCCCAGCCCATGGAAGGTGTGAGGCCGGTAGCGGCCCTCGGCGCGCCAGGCCCGAGTCAGATTGCTTGGGAATGCAGCCCAAAGCGGGTGGTAAACTCCATCCAAGGCTAAATACCGGCACGAGACCGATAGCCAACAAGTATCGTAAGGGAAAGTTGAAAAGAACTTTGAAGAGAGAGTTCAAGAGGGCGTGAAACCGTTAAGAGGTAAACGGGTGGGGTCCGCGCAGTCCGCCCGGAGGATTCAACCCGGCGGCGTGGTCCGGCCGTGCCGTGGGCCCCGGCGGATCTTTCCCGCGCCCCGTTCCTCCCGACCCCTCCACCCGTCCTCCTTCCCCCGGGCCCCTTCGGGGGGCCGCTCTTCAACACTGTCACCACCAGCAGCCACAGGAGAATTGAGAGGTAACAGGGGGGACAACATGATTATGTGGAGGATTCAGAAAAGGGGGAGTTTCACCTCACACACTAAAGGTCTTTCTCAAAAAGTTGTCTTGTTAACTAACTCAGTTAATGTCCGTGGATTTCTACAGCAGGGACTTAGGGTCCAGTGGAGTGGATTGTCCAAGAAAAATACATTCAAGGATGCATAATCCAACATAATATAATAAACTCTGGGGACAGTCAGACACCAAGAGAGGCAAAGCTGGAAAGAAGAAATTTAGAAAAGGATCAGAAGACAAACATGTCATTAAATTTTTTCAGAAAAGAGCAAAAAAAAATATGTCCTCTCACCCACAGTAGAAAAATCTGAAGAGGTAAGCAGCATAAAGTATTCCAAACAGACTCTGTCCCAAAGAAGCTGGGAGTCAGGATTTTGCTGGAAGCTACTGCTTAAAGGAGAATTGGGATAGCCATGTCATTGGACTAGGAGGGTGGATAGTAAATTTCCTTTTTGTAGCTTGAGGACTTCAGGCAAATTATGTCCCCGTGTCTGTTGCATCACCTGTAAAATGTTAATTGCACTTGTACCTATCTGTTGACACTGATGTGAGGTTAAAATGAGTTTGTACAGGAAAGTGTATAGCAGGCAGTAAACATCAAAATTCTTAGCTCAATTATTTTAATTATTTGGTGGTAAAGGTCTGGTAAATTATTTGAGGAAGAGTAGGATGGGAATGATCTGGATCACTGGGGGAAAGCACTCATTCCACCTGGGAGGTTCAACTTATTCCCTGTCCAAATGGTTTTATTGTTTAATTCCATGGTTCTCAGGGACCAATGAACTGGTCTGTGTCATTATTACTGGTTATAATTTGGAAGTCCTATTCCTCTTGCTTCCTTGCCTGAATCCGTAATAGATTTAAGTGAAGCAGACATCTCATTATATGCCATCCCCAACCGTGCTTTCCTTCCCAGTCCTTCTGGAGAAGATATTTTATAGAGGCAAGTAGACATTTCTTCCAATATCATGGGAGGTTCCTGAGGCTCATGGACCAAGTTGGTTCCTGGAGACTTTGAGTTTTGTATAGGGCTCTCATTTCCTGCATGTCTAATATCTAGAGAAAAGTTAAATGGATAAAGACCCAGGCCCTTCAGCTGACTGACATCTGTGGACTTGTAAGAGTTCTACAGATATTTACCTTAGGATATCCACATGCCACTGTGATGGGATACAAAAATGGTCTGAATCTATGCAAGTGTATGTCTTTCTGAGCAGAACGTCCATTGTTTTCTTCATCTTCTCAAATGGTTAAAAATGGCTTAGGATAGTGGTCGGCAAACTCATTAGTCAACAGAGCCAAATATCAACAGTACAACGATTGAAATTTCTTTTGAGAGACACATTTTTTAAACTTAAACTATATAGGTAGGTACATTGTTATTAACTTAATTGGGGTACT